CCCTAAACCCTATACACCCTATAAGCCCTAAACCCTATAAACCCTATAAACCCTATAAACCCTATAAACCCTATAAACCCTATAAACCCTATAAACCCTACAAACCCTACAAACCCTAAAACCCTAAAAACCCTATAAACCCTATAAACCCTAAACCCTAAACCCTATAAACCCTAAACCCCAACCCTAAACCCTAAAATGAAAATCTGGTGCCCGGACGCATCAGCCTGGAGCAGCTCTCTTCCCATCCGCGTCAGGAGCTCCAGCGACTGCTCCCACCAGCCTCCCTTCCTGAGCCAAATGGGGGGATTTGGGGGTTTATAGGGGTTTAGGGTTTTAGGGTTTAGGGTTTAGGGTTTAGGGGTTTGTATGCCCTATAAGGGTCCATGTACCCAAATAGTGTATACATTGGCCTTAATGTAGTCCCTATATAGGTACTTTAGGGCCAATGTATATACTATTTAGGTACATGGACCCTTAGGGTTAGCCAAATGGCTCAAAAGGCGGGATGACGGTGGGTGTGCGAATCCCTTACAGAAGGCTGCTCATCTAAAAATCGCTAATTCCACCTACCTTAATCTCGCAAAGCTCCTGTTCTCTTGGTGTCTCGGGCCTGTGATCCAAGTACTTTGCGGTTGCTTAAAAAGGCTGACTTGAGGACTTCGAGTGCTCACGTCATGAAATATGAACCCCCCCCAGTCAAAACGGCAGAGGAGCTTTCCAGTAGTTCTCGGTGTTCGAGTTTACGGTAGCAAGACACGAGGCAGCTCTGTGGACGATCGCAAAACCGACGACGGTGCTTCACATCTGGGGAGGCTTGTTACTTGTACCTGTGCGATGATACACTCCTGTACCATGGGCTGAAAACCCTCTGAAACCTACACACCCAAACCCCGAATCTCTGAACACTGACGTCAACAAGCAAGCCAAAATGACACATGCCTGAAGCCCACACCGCTTCATCTTCCGATGCCGCTTGCCAGCGGGGGATGGAAGCTACACCCCCAAGTCTCCATATAGGGTAGGGTTTAGGGTCAGGCTGCGAAAAAAGCTACAGTATAAGGCTCCATGGGGTCTGCGCGAAAGTGGGGTTCTAAGTAGGGGCACCATCATTGCAAGAGATCTGAACTGATGCGGATTACTACGAGCTGCTAAAATACACAAAAGCTCTGTGATCCAATGCAGCTCGAAGCTCTCACAGGCACTAATTAAAGCACTGCAGGTGATCACGTCTGCGCGCAGGGAGATGCTTGGCCTTGAAAGACGCAAGCTTGGTTTGGTGTGATGACTCTATCATGTAGACAGTTTTGAGCGTCAAGGATGGCTTAAGTCAAATCGAAGGGATTCCACAACCTAAATACCTACATAGTACTAAACCCTTAAATCATAAAGTCCCTAGCAGCCAGAACGGATCAGGGTTTCGGGCTTGCGTAGACTCGTAGGCCTGAGGCCTTGGACATGTTTGCTGCCCTTGGGTCACTGAATCTGTCTTCCTCGGGGTGTCGGTTTACAGCGTGCGCGGAACATTCAGAACATAAATAACGCACATAAACACTCCAAGGATTACTTTCGGCCCAGGGGCTCAGGGAATGCATAAAGTCTCATAATGTCTATACTCAGCCCTAAACCCTAAACAAAACCATGACCAGAAGCCCGAAGGTCTACTCTCTGCTAGGCTGAAGGCCCGAAAAAACAAAAATCACACAATACCCCCCCCCCCAAAAAAA